ATATATGTGTGTGTGTGTGTGTATATATATATATGTGTGTGTGTGTGTGTGTGTGTATGTGTGCATATATGTGTGTGTGTGTGTATGTATATACGTATATACATATATATGTGTGTGTGTATGTATATATATATATATGTGTGTGTGTGTGTGTGTGTGTGTACACTTTAACAGTAAATTGATTCTGTCATCTTCTCCCATCTTCTATAATCTACTACTAACTAGTTTTAGTTTCGCTACATTGACACTTGAATGTGCTGAACGCATGTGTGACTCTTTCCTCACCCAGAAAGTACCAGATAAGAGATGAAGATCCTGCCAAGACGAGGATGATGATGGTGAAGATGAGGCCAATCAGCCATTTCGGGAAGCTCCTCCTCCTTTTTTGGGTCTGATCCGGATCGGCGCGAGGAATCTGTGGATAAACACAAAACACGGGAATACTGAGAGAAACACTCCAGAGATCTCTCTCAGGTGCTGTTGTGCAGGGCGGTAATGTTTGATTAAACTGCTCTCTCTCTCTCTCTCTCTCTCTCTCTCTCACAGTGTCGCTGGCTCGCTCTCGATTCGGATCCGATCTGAATTGGTTCCCGAGCTCCATCACGAACCGGACCGTTATCTCGCGCTCATCCTCGGCTCCGTGAACAGACTCTCGGTCCCGGTTCTGGTGGTTCGTAGCAGGACTCGCACAAGCTCGGCTCTTCACATGTTCTGCGGGAGTCGCAGTGTTTGTCGGTCCAAAGTTCGCAGCGGATCAATAATCGGCTGCTCTGAGGACAGTCCACGGCAGCCGCAGTTTTCATTTAAATGCGAGATTGTGTGAGAATATGAATAACGGGTCTCTTAACAACAGTCAACGCCCAGCAACACGCGCTCACCTGCGCGACGCCCGTGACGTCACTGTGTCGGGTCTCACCTGTGCGCACGCGATGCTCCTCTGGGACTCACTCCTCTGTTCGAGTGATATATTTTGCCACTTCAGTTCATGCATTTTAATGCATTAGCTGTTCATTGTAATTTTACACTTATGCTTGATCATCTATGATTATGTGTGTATTTTTCCATTACAAATCAGCACTTTTATCCTAAGCTATAGTGTACGATAGGATCTAAGCATGAGGATCAAACAGTTCCATGAAACTGCAATTTTATTTAATTTAAAACTCATTCATTTATAGTCACCAATTACCCATATTAAACCTGTGAAAATACTTTTTTCAACCAGACTTGTTCAGTTCACAACCAGAAGGAAGCTTCTGCTGGTCCACCGTCCACGATGTATTCGAGCAAATCTCAGAAACAGCTGAGAAAAACACAGTTGGGATGCATTACTTTGGAATACATTACAGAGCCATCTCTGGGGTTCTTATAAAAAATAATAATTCAACATTCATCTCTGCAGTGCGATAATATCATCATGATTCCGTCCCCAAAATTAATTTTTTACCAGATTTCTTTTGGTTGCTGCAATTTATTATTAAACACATTTCTTGCCATACCCCATACAGCCCCCGACACACAGCAAATACTGTTCTACTATAACACTCATAGGTCTGTAATACCTAAGAAAGGAGAAATCTATCTGTTGTCATTCTCATTCACTTTAGTGGCACTGAGAAACAATGCTGTTGAGTGTCCATCAAAAAAAGGCTTTTAGAACAGCAATCTGACCCATACTAACAGAAACAGTCAGTCTGAGCACAAAGATGCTTTAATATATTATTTGCAATCGCTGAGAACTACTGGCTTCTCTTACATTCAACAAAGACATCATTTTCAACATACATTTCAATGCAAAAATCAAACACATGACATGAAATGGTATATAAAAATATCATAAACAAAATGACAATAACCGTGATAAGTCCAAGCTGCTCAAAAGAACGTTTCACTTCTGCTTGTGTGTTTCTGTCTCATGTTAGCCTTAATGTCCCTGCTGCCAAACATCTTAAAAATAGAAATTATATGATAATATTCAGAGTGAAGAATGTTATAAATCGTCTCATCTGAAACGAATAATTTTCTAAACATCTAGTTTTCCTTGGAGTCGTTCCATGTAAACTGAATGGTAGAATTTTAGTGAAAAGAAACAGGAAACGGTGCTTTGTGTTTCGCCCGCAGATCCTGCGCTCGTTCTGAGAGACTGCATCTGCGTCACACAAACCTGCTGAGATCAGGAGTGACTCTCACATTGTCCTGCTCATACAACAGCACACAGAAGCAGATCCCGTCGTGTCAACCACCAAGTCACCAAAACTCCTCTCATCATTTATGCACCATCATGTCATTCCTAACCTGGCAGACCCTGGTCTTAACAACCAGTTAACTGAGTGATAATCAGTCTTGTTTCGGATTCAAATGAGTCCAATCTGCCCTTAAAAACTTAGGACCGTACTTGAAGAAAAAAGTTAGATGACTAACTGTTAAGACTAGTGCAACCAGCAACTGAATAACTTTCTATTTTCTGTGGAACACAAATGGAAATGTTTAGCAGAATGTTCACGCTGCTCTTTTCCATGCAATGAAAGTGCAAACGATATATGTGACCCTGGTCTTAAGTCGCTGGGGTATATTTGTAGCAATAGCCAACAATACATTGTATGGGTCAAAATTATTGATTTTTCTTTTATGCCAAAAATTACTTTACCAAAGTAAAGATCATGTTGCATGAAGATATTTTGTACATTTCCTACTGTAAATATATCAAAAATTAATTTTTGTTTAGTAATATGCATTGCTAAGATCTTCATTTGGACAACTTTAAAGATGATTTTCTCACTATTTTGATTTTGTTGCACCCTCAGATTCCAGATTTTCAAATAGTTGTATCTCAGCCAAATATTGTCAGATCCTAACAAACCATACATCAATGGAAAGATTATTTATTCAGTTTCAGATGATCTACAAATCTCAATTTTGAAAAATTGACCCTTATGACTGGTTTTGTGCTCCAGGGTCACGAATAGGTATCATAACAGTTGTCCATCTGAATCTAGTCTTTCGAAGTCATTCGTGTGTGGAACTGAAACAGCGAAACTCTTTCTGTGCAGCTGTGGGTCACTGAATGGACTCAGACACTCCAGCAGAATCATCTCTGTTTGTGGAAGTCATGAGGGTGAGCAGAACGAACGCTCATGTTTTGACAGACAGCGCTTCCGTTCACACGCAAAAACTCGCTCTCAAGCTTTCTCATTTTCACTGCAGTTACAGACTGAGCTTGTCAATTTCTGTGTAGCCCAAAGCTTGCTTCGCTCTGATAAGGTCATATCCACTGCTGAGTGAACGTTCTGGCCTTCAACACTAACTCTGCACATTTTTCACTGGCATGTAATCGTCACTAGAGGGCTCAATCAGCCCACAGGAGCTCTGGAGGTCCAGGTCTAATCCAGGAATCGTGCGCTGAAGGCCCAGGAGCGGGTGTCTGCAGGGCTCCGGCGCAGGCAGATCCTGGGGCAGGTTTAAGCCCAGAGGACTGGGCAGCTCCGTCTCCTCCATGCTGTCCTCGGCTCCGCCTGCGAAACCCGAATCTGGACTCTGCATGTCCTGGCGCAGCTTCTCCAGTGTCTTCAGAGAGAATTCCAGCTCTCCAGCAGCGCGAGTGCCGTCGGCGCTGCGCTGAGGAAGCGTCTCGGAGCCGCTGCCGCCCCCTGCTGGCCCGTAGGAGGAGTGCGCTGAGCAGGGCTCCAGAGCATCGCTTGGCCCCTTGGAACTCTGGGACATGAAGTAGGTGGAGTTTGAGAAGTTGGAGGATTTGACGGTGCTGTCCCATGTGTCCCCCTGCAGACTGCCACTGTTTCTGCGTGTGCTTGGGGAATCGCAGGCGTCCTGCAGCTTCAGGACCTCGACCGGACTGATGAACTCGGCGTCCGCTCTGATGAAGCCCTCGTGCGCTAAAACCGACCCCAGCCAAGACTGATGGAGAGAACGAGACGTCATGACACACAGAACAGAACAGAACTGAACGAAAGCTAACGTATGTCTGATTATCTGACGCACGGGATTCTAGGGCTGTCAAAATGGCTGAAAAACTACATTCGAATTTTGTACTTAAATATTATCAAAATTCGAATTATATTCAAATTTAAAATGCATAATTTTAGTTAGGATGAAAAAAAGCTTTTGGCTTCTGAGGCCACAAGAGGGCGCATCTAAATGCACGTTTATTCAAAGCATAAGATAACATGACTATCTGTGAAAAAAGTTTAAAATAATGTTTATAAACCAATTATAATTAAGTTGCTTAACTATAAACAAAACAGCATCATGTATGTAAGCATAGTTTAATACAAAGGGCGGAAAGCCGATCACACGGAGTACATTTTTCATTTAAAACCATGAGATGCTGTGGGATGGGAAAAAACAGCAATAAAGTCTCGATATATGTTTTTTTCAAAATTAAACTTGCATTAATTTGACATGGCTTTCTAAACGTGGCTCTTTTGTGCGAGACGCGAGTGCAACGGTGATAGATGTCCCTCTAGAAAATGCGTGAAATATGTGTTCTGTGTGAACGGCTTGGTTTCAGTTTTGATGTAAACAAGATCTTCTTCGCATTGATGTTCTCTTTTTCCGCAATATTTGTAATGAACAACGCAGCAGCGCTGCATCTAGTGGCTTCAACTGGATAGACTAACAAACACATTATAATGCAACGACACTCACATCGTCATCGCATTTCGTGCGCCGCTGATAAAGCTGCCTCCTTAACGCACCGAATGCAACGTTTTTGCATTCAAATGTGGATTTTTATTTTAAATTCGACGAATATTCGAAATTCGAATTTTTGTTTGACAGCCCTACGGGACTCACCGTGAAATTCCCTCCGTGGCTCGAGTTCAGATCACCGAAGAATTTGGAGGGATCAGGAATAAACGTGGAACTGTTCTTCTGGACCCTGAAACAAGCCACATTCCTGTGGCCCAATACTGTCATTCTGAGCTCAGAAACACACTTTGTAACAGATGTAATGTCTCTCGTATAACCTGACATGTTCTCATTGAAATAAATCATTTACAATCGTTTTTTGAGGTCATGAGGGATAATTGTGAGTCAGTTGTTAAATATTTAGTTGCATTATAGTTAGTTTTTGTTATTATCGTTAGCGTTATTGTCCTAGTTAGTATAAAGGTATTTTATAGTCAGTTATTATTATAGCTGTAGTTACCGTTATCATTTCATTATAGTTATTATTATAGTTATTTATTTGATTGTGGTTATCGTTATAGTTATAGTTATTGTAATTCTAGTCATAGTTATTGTTATTATTGGTATCGTTATCGTTATAGCTGCTGTTATCGTTACTGTTATTATTATCATTATGGTTATCATTATAGATATTGTTTATTGTATTATAGTTATCGTTATAGCTATCATTATAGTTAGTCATTATTACAGTTATCATTATCGTTACTGTCGTCATTATAGTTATTGTTATTATTATTATTGTCATAGTTACTGTTATTATTATTAGCTTTATAGTTATCATTATTGTTCTCGTTGTCATTATATTTATCATTATAGTAGTTCTTATTACAGTTTTCATAGTTACTGTCACCATAATATTTATTATCATAGATATCGTTATTATTATTAGCATTATAGTTATCGTTATAGTTATGGTTGTCATTATAGTTATTGTTATTATTAGCAACATTATAGTTATCGCTGTCGTTATGGTTATCGTTTAGTTGTAGTTATCGTTGTAGCTGTTGTTTGTGGTGTGAGTGTGTCTGAAGACTCCTCACAAGTGATCACTCACCTTTTGATTCTCTTGCACTTGATGAGAATGGTGAAGATTAATATGATGGCCAGAGTGATTCCCGTCAGCGTGATTCCTGCCACCAAGGAATCCAGAGGGAGAATCTCTGAAGAGGCAGATGAGAGCGTTAGAGTATGGCAACACATTAATGTGTGTGTGTGTGTGTGTGTGTGTGTGTGTGCGTGTGTGTGTGTGTGTGTGTGTGAGTGAGTGAGTGAGT